TTAGATCAGAGGCTCGGTTTTATATATTTCACATTGTCAGTGAAGCTACTTAATGAAAAGAAAGTGAAACTAAAGCGATTCATTGTACATTCGCGATAATTATTGTATCCGTATAATCATTCTGCTAAAAAAAAAAGTGAATTCAAACCAAATGATTTTTTTCATTAATGTACATAAAACCATAATTTCCTACTGCTATTTAATGAAATAAAAGCAACTTACAATTGAGTGTGAAAAGCTGTCCTCTTTGGAAAGCAGGAGAAAGAACAATGGTGAGATCAAGGGTGATGTCAAAGTCACTAATGGTAATACTAGTGATGGCTCGAGGCCAGATTCCCCTCTGTCTGATGAAAATGATGACGATCTTCAAGCTAAAGAAAATTGATTGCACACTTTAGAAATGAACTGAAGTAAGAAGAAGCCAAACTTCTCTTGTTGAAACAACCACATGCTGCACAAAATGATGTCAAAGGTAGCTCCAAATTTCAAAAAGAAAATGTGGAGAAGGTACAGACACAAGGAGCGTCTTCCCAACCTGTGAAGTCCTCTATGCAGCTTCCACCTAAAAAGGGTCAGAATCTTCCTCCCCTACCACCTTTGAAGGCCTTAACAGTACTATACTAGCCATTTCTACTTTCCATCCACCCAGGGATGTTCTAGAACAACCAAGGCTGCTTCCAAAAGGAAGTAGTAATGCTCAATCACAGTCCTCAAACTCTGGATCTTCAAAGATTACATTGATTTTGATTAACTTGGTTTGCGATTATTCTGTAAAATTTCTTCCTTCCTCTTCTCCTGGGTCCTCTGTCTTCCTCCCTCGAGAAAGGAAGAGAGGGGACCTGGGAGCGAAGGTTGAACTTCCTAAGTTCAGAAGTTCAATAATAAATTGATGATCATCCCGGAACTTTCAAATGCGCGCGCACGATGCAAAACTTGCCCTTTCATTCATAACATCGAGACTACATCGGGACTCAAGCGATCATATAAGACTACCATTCACTTCACCTGTACAACTTACACTCATTTAAAAAAAAAAAAAAAACGTTATATACTGGCGAAGGAGGAAGACGACTAGCCTAGACTAGACTAGGAATGGCGAAACGCATCCAAACCGGTTGCTAGACCATTAATATTCTCAATCATTCAAAGCAGTGGGCAGTTCGGAAAGCTGCAAAACTCTATAACAAACATCGGCACCCTTAATCCCCATACTCTTTTCATTTAATTAATTTATTCGTATTTTTCTTGTCACCACGTTCCAATTTCTGCATATAGGACACACAACCCGCTCTGACGAAGAGCGAACGCTCGAAACGTCAACTTTAAAACTCTTTACGGTGGTCAATTTACATTTTTAACTGGGTTTATAAAACCAAATTATCTTCCTCAACCTTCTCAATAAATCAAATGCACTTCTTATCACTGGCCTTCTCATCAGGCGTTATTTATTATTTATTAATGTTTTCGGCGTTGATTAAAAGAACAACAGCGAAGTTGCATAAAAACCAGCGGTGATTCGAGTGATTTCCTCAAATATTCTGTATCAAACCTTAAGATGATTCTTCAGTTTTGCAACACACATCCTGTATTGCGTATAAAGATCACGTAATAAGGGAATGAGCGCGCGCAAGAATGGGCTCCTGGCGCGCGCGCATTTCGAGAACACGGTATTATTTTTCAATCCACGGACCAGGTGACCTATCTTTTGTATTGTGTTTTTCGAAACTGACATTGGTAAGGAAAATTAAGGAAAGTTTAAAAAAAACTTGTGTTCGATAACTTTTTTTTCTGAAGAATTACCTTATGCGGCGCGAGAGATATCCATGCCCAGGCCGACTGCCCTCGTTTCAGGAGGCTTATCATGAGACACAGAAACACTTGCCTCCACCGCCTGTGAGGCAGGCGTTCACAATCGAGTAGATTTCCGTATAACTCTATTCTTCATTATGGATACATTTCTTTGACAAAAGCAAAAAAAGGCGAAAACAATGGACGCCTTCGGGGTTATGGATTTGTTTCAGATTAGTAGGGAGTTGGTGGGCGCTAAAAATAAGTCTTGTCCAGGCAAACAGCTGTTTTACCAGCCCCTGCTCGTCAGATATTTCAAGTCCTCAAGAGAAAATATGTCTACCCTATCTTACATTTCTTGAGGTGAGCAACCATTTGTTTTTGCTGTATTCAATGTTGAATATGTACGTTAGACTCTGCATGGCGGCGTACACTACGTGGGGTTTTAAATGAAAAACAGTTGAGCCAAAGAATAGCCTCTGAGCTATAGAGGACTCAATATGGCAACATTAAAGATGGCAGACAAGAGTGACAAAAAAAATCTAGGAAAAGTTACCTTGAAATAGAAACTATACATTTGCGTAAAAATCGCTGTCAGTTATATAATTTTGATAATTCAACGCTTAGACGACTCAGGTTCTCGTTTTCTTTGGTTGTGCTCTTTTACTGTCCTGTGGGTCCATAAAACGGATTTTGTCCTCTCTTCGAAAGCGGAACATCTTTACGGTACAAAAAATGATAGAAATATTTGAAATTACCTGGAAAAGAACTATTTTCTGACAGAATAACGGAGACCTAACTTAGATTTCAAGCTGCGTGATTATATTGAGCTTGGTCACAAAGGTAAATATGAAATTAAATGAATTAAACCGAGCGAAAGAGGTTGATAATCAGAGTCTTCATTCAACAGTCGCTAGATTTGGAGATGTAATTAAAAGCAACGATTTGATGGAAAATGAGTTAAAAGCAGCAGAAACGTCAGTGAGTTTATGTAATGTGGACAGTGAAGTTGATTTGGATGTCACGGCGTTTGGCTGCCAGGACGATGATCAAGCCCATGGCCTATCTCAAAATGAGTCCAAAGATTTAGATGAAGACAGAATTTCTGAGAGAAATCCTAGTGAGGTTGTTGAAGAAGTTGATGTGATAGATGTTGGATTTAATGACTATCCTTGTGATCAAATTTCTGGCTCACAATTAAGCATGGTGGATCATGACAAGTTTGGAAAAATCAACAGCAAGACCTATAATGAAAGGTTATTTCAGTTGCAATTTGAAACATTGGATAAGAAAACAAAAAGTGAAGCTCATGGTGTGGAAAAGGAGTCCCCTACTGTAGAGACTAACCTGTGGCATGACCAGCTTTTGAATGGCAATGGAGAGGATGATGACTACAATCGCTTCTATTTTGAGTCTGATCATTTGGCACTAAAAGATAATAAACAGTAAGTATTACTTAGTCACTTTTAGTAATGCAGTAACTACTTTTTAACTATGAGTCTTTCCATTTTTAATTCCGACTTTCCAATATTTTTTACCTAAAAAAAAACTCCATTTTAGTAACTTTATTGAAAATACAACTTCACTTTAGTAAATCCAGTCATGAAAATGTGATTCCATCCAGCAGCACATCTCCAATAGCCTATTACTCAGAAGAAGCCCCTACCCCCCTAGTGGCTTGGTAAAAGAACCAAACAAGCAAACAGACCAACATATCTTTCCAGTCTGAATTTTTTTGAAAAGTAACAAGCGGGTGCCACTTTTTTAACTCTTCCACACCCAAGATCTCTTTAATAATTCTCACTAGCACCTGCTATACAATTCTCATGATGCCATTTTGGGAGAATTTGGTTTTGGGTAAATTAATAATTCCCTAATTGATATTTATTTTTCTCTATTCTCTTCACTTGCCTGCTTGATGTTGTATTGATATTGTGAAGGGAAACTCTGCCATTGTCACTCATGGGAGTGAAAGGGTTAATATGTTTTTGTTTCTTTTTACTATTTTTTATTACTTTTTTTCATTTGAATGTGACTTTGTGTAAAATGTCATGAGTCTTTTGTAATCACTCTAACTCTTTTAAGGTTAATGAGGACCTAGATGTAGTTATAGAGGATTTTTATAGAGAATTTTTTATCTTCTTTTGCACCAGCTATCATTTATTGTTACAAACGTTGCTGGTTTTGGAGTCTCAGAGGAGTCAAGCTGTCAAGGTAATCAAAATTATTATTCTTGAAATAATGTTTCAATATTTGTGCGACATAACCCACCACCAGGTTTGAGGTAAGGTTGTAGAGTGCTAGACTGCAGTATTCAAGCCCCAGACCAGGCAACATCCAGGTTCTTAAAATAACTGAGGAGAATGTGCTGCTTTTGCTATCAAATCTGCAAAATTCAACATTGTAGTCTTTTTGGAGATGGATGAGAAAGCATAGCCTCCTGCATTTTGAGGGCATCCACAGGTCACCCACAGGCCCCACTTTATGTGTCTTAAATAGTGAAGCTAGATATGCATCTAATAATGTATGTTTTGGCTAAACTTGAAGCATGGGTCAAT